AACAAAAGAGACCGAACAGCAAAAATGAAAACACGGGTTCCCCTAGGAGCGCTGGCAGGTGGGCCAACTTGTGCGCAGAACACTGAGCCCGGAAGTTTCTCATCAATTTTGAGGCTTCTGACGTGCTGTTGGCAGAGATGCGTGGAGGTTGCACAGTTCGCGCGCCTGGGGAAGTGGCCATAGCGGCTAGGAGGCTACCACAAGAGATGCGTGGGCGATGGCTGTGTAAACAGGTGACACCCAAAAAGATATGCCGGCAAACATCATACACATCTTTGCATGTTGGTAATTAAACTGGTGGGCCCTTGCTGAAAAAAGCCAAGCCTCAAACTAAACTGTTCACGAGCTGAATATGTGGAACCTGTGTATCTGTTTCCTAGATCAAGATATATCCCGATCCCTGCGGCCCAGTGGATGCCTTCTAGCAGCTACGCATTATGCAAAACCCCCAAACTCTGACCTCCCGCCTTGAACACCTCACCCCAAAGCCTACACAACAATTTAGCCCGGGAGCCGAAGACTCCGTTGAAGAGGGCTGGTACGCGAGTGGAACCTGTGGTGTCCTCACTTACCTTGGGTCTGTCGAAAAATCTTAGGATGTAGCAATTCGTTTATGCGTGATATGCTTTAAAGTTTGTGAGGTGGATTTAGGGAAACTGGGCTTACGACTGTGCAGTTTATAGGATGGAGTTGGGGGCTTAGGGCTTCTTTAACATAAAGAGCTGTGGATAAGTGGAAGAATGCTCGTGACCTGTGCACCACTTCTCCTGGTTCAGGTCGGAAAGCAGGAAAAGCAAAACTGCTGTTCAGGCCCCAAGCGACGGCAACTGGACACATGTGCATGCTAACCAGGGATCCCGCTCCACCCGAACCTGAGATCGAGACTGTGGCGCCGAACGACTGGAGTGTCGAAGATGCTGGGGTTGCTGGGAAGTTAGGAAGCGGGACAAGAGGTGGGGTCTGTATGGCTATGTGAACCTGACATCTTACATAGGGTTGAAGATGCAAGGTCTTGCAAATTGCCCTGGGCTGGAGAAGTGGTCCATGTGCCATCCTTGCGAAGTATCCAGGGTGTAAAAAACAATTCTTGGGGAGCTGTGGTTTGAGAAATACTCGTTTTTTTCTACTATTGCAACGAGCGCTGCCGAGTTGCTGCTATGCTGGAGCATCCCCTTATAGCAGATTGCATGAAGCTGCGAAGAATTCCCGGGGTCTATGGTAGTTCAAATTAGACCACAAGCCTTGCTTACCCCGAAAACCCTGCATCCTGAACCATCAACCCAAACCCGACGAAACAAAAACAGCTGAGGAGCTGCCCCCAGGGGAAAAGGCATGGTTGTGCGGGTTCCGGACCTGGCCGCTCGCCGGATTGGTTGTGTTCACCGAGCACGCAAACCTCAATTGCGGACCCCAAGACAGCATGTTAGGGATTTAGGGCTTTAGGATAGGTTTATAATGGATTTCGGGGCTTCGAATTTCGGGTGTGGGTGTTCAGTCTGCGTTCTAGGCCTTGAGGTTCAACGATGACTAGTATCCCAAACACACAGTCCAGCAATTCGTGCATTAGCTTTTGTTTGACAAGTTTTCTGGCATTGGCGTTGAGAATTCAGGTTCGAGAAGATGAGGGGTCAACTATACATACTCCACCTGAACAAAGAGAACGCCTAGAAACCGGGTCTTGCATCCCGAATGGTCTTGATGTTTCCAGCAGACAAGTTATACAAGGTATGAAAGAATTGATCGCTCTCAGCGTCAAAACAATTTGGATAAATCTAATCTACTTTTGGAGATTAGGGTTTGCGATCAGGTTAATAAAGCAGAACACAAGAAAATATCTTACCCAGCAGCAGCGCAGAAACTCCGGAACGTTGCTCGTCCCAAAAATGATTCCGTTGCGCTTGTAGATCAGATCTGTAAGCTCGCTGTTCCTAACGGACACCCTAACCCCAATACCCCTAACCCAGACACCTTGAACTCTAGCATGTATTAAGCAGGTATGCATGCATGAATGCATGCATGAATGCATGCATGATGTATGTATGCAGGTATGTAGGTATGTAGGTAGGCAGGTTGAGGCTTCAGGTGTGCCATGCTGGGATGATCGTGGATGGGCAGGGAAATTGTTATGCTTCGAAAAGTCAATCGCGTTCAAGGGAAACCCACCGTCTTGATGTCTGGACCACAGCCATCTCCAAAGCATGGTGATCGAACCCCTTACGTCCTTGCAGCCTTCATACCCCCAAACAGGACAGCGTCAGACTCTGGAACTGCAAAGTTACAGGGTTCTCAATGAAGACTTTCACGTCAGACCACAGAGTAAGGGGCCTTTTAGGGAGGCTCGTTTGAGGTTCAAATGCGGGATTGAAATCTGCCCGCTCCCTGTCTTTATGGAAAACTATGCATGGAGCCACCAGATGGCTCTTATTTTGACAATTCCGATATGACTCTTGTTAGAAAGACCCAGGTTCTTCACGGGCGTGTATTGGCTCAAGATTCCCACGCCGCAGCCTGATGGGAAGTCCACCACAGCTGCAGTTCCTTTCTGGGGTATGGGCAAGCCATACCTTGGTAGTCGACGGTTTAGGGGTTGGTGAGGGTGCGTAGTTCAAGGGTCTGAACGTAAGGGCAGTTAGGGGTCATATTGTGGAGGCTCAAGGTTCATGCAGAAACCAGGGCAGAGCCTTGCCTCCTGCTCTTCGCATTCAGTGCCCCTAAGTTCCCTGATCTTGCATGGTAAGTGGGAGTTTTCTTCAGTGGCAGGGCGTGACAAAGAGTCATGTTGCATAAGAACTTGGTCTAACCAAGCTCGGAGGGTTTCGCTTTGGTTCTAGTCTTCTCGATTTTTTCCGGTCCAGGCTAAGCGCGCTGATGCAAAGCACAAACTTCTAATCGCAAACATTTTTGCCCAGACACAGTGGCGCCAACGCATCCACACCCTCTTTCGCCGCCTTCCTGTCCAGCGCGCGTGCTCTTTTAACCTCAGTCTTGAAGGGGCTTCGCGAAGGGTTTGGTCTTCATGGTTTAGGGTTGGGGAGTGAGGGCTTGAGGTTCAGGATCTAGGACTAGGGTCCAGACTTTATACGGTTCAGGGCTTGGGCATGGGACTTAAGCCACAAGAGCCTTAGGGATTGTGTCGCGCTTTAAAGACATTACATGGAGGTTTAGGACTTTTCTTGTGACCGGAACCTACAACAGAGAACATGATTCAAAAGGTCCCCTCTGCTGAGGTTTGATATATCTTCAGCATACTAGTAGTCTGGGCAACTCCCGTTGAGGCATACGTGTGGCTTCCCGGTAGGTTATAGTAAGAGAATCACATGTACGCCGTACGCACATGGTGCTCCGGATCAAGCTGTGTTCATGCAAATTGCCAACCTGGTTGTAGTTTTGAAGGCATTTCACTCCTACAAGACTTCTCTTCGGGCTTAAGAAGCCTTTTCTAGGATTTGCAGGACGAGCACTGCGATTTGCCTCTTGACAATTGTTACGCCGGTTTAAATTCAAAGCATAATTGGACGAATGCAGTCTTACAACTGAGCGAGCTAGTGCAAGAGTACGCTCTGCAGGCGAGAGCCTACGCCGCCACTCTTGCCGCTTGATTGATATCGTTTTGCTTACATCCCCCCAATGACTATCCTGCTGATCATCCAAGTTGCGGCAATGTCCAGGAGGTCGTAGCTGCGAAAGATCCACCTTGGCTGGATTATGACCTTCTAATTTCGAAAGAAATGTTTAGGGTGCAGGGCAAAGCATGCCCAGAAGGAAGGGAGCACACTTCTAGGCCTCCTGGAGCCTGTATATCAGGGTCACATTGCATGCCACTAGAAAATCAGGGCTCTCCATAGAAATACCCAGAAGGAGCACCATGCTGAGATCACTCGATATTTCCGCCGCCAACAGCAGGCATCTTTATTGCAGAGAGTGCAACAAACGGAGTCGTCAAGCTACGATTGCTGGGGTTGCGGTTGAGAGATTGGGGCTAAAAATCACAAAGTCATCTGGCGAGACTCCGCCCTGCAATTTGCATGAGGCTTGCTACTGCATGTAGACTGGAAATTATCAGAATCGGGGATTTTACAAAGGAAGACACTGTAGAAGGACCGTGGGGAAAGGATTATAGGGGGTCTCGCGGTGCAAGAAGGTTTCTTCCATTCAAGGGAGCTCCAAAATTCGCCGACACAGATGTTGCATGTAAGTCTAGGTTCTGGCTGAGGGGTTCAGGGTTCAAGGCTTCGGTGGGCCTTGAGCATGCAGTTTAAATTAACGTCGTTACTGAACAGGCATAGAAAGTCACTAGCAGTTGTTGAGCACTTTTCTGGGAGTGCCAACTAGGGGTTGAATCCTGGGGCTAACCATTGACCCCGTGAGTGAGCCACCATTGGTTTAGAAGCGCCTACCTCATTGCCAAGCACAATCCAAACACTGGACGAACCTGTCCAAACTTTTGCCGTCATCTTCTGCAAAACATGGGCTAGGTACTGGTTCATGTAGCGGTAGTGCTTTGCCCGCTTCACGAGCAAGGATGTGTACTCCTCACCTGGATAACAGCGATGACGCACGCGCTAGGAAGAATATATAGCATGACGAGGAATGAGGCATGCCACTATCCTTCTCGCGCTTTGTACTTGGGTACTTGTATATTGGAACTTGTCGCGAGAATAGGAGCAAATACAAACGGTAGCAGAGGGAGGAGGAGTACGCAGATTGGGCCAAGCGCACAAGTGCCAGTAACTCTGCTAACTCTGCTAAAGCCAACCGGTCGCGCAAACTCGAGACTGAAGGTTTGAGGTTGATAGGTTCAGAGTGTGGAGTGCGCTGCAGCACTGTGTGGATCACTGTTAAGGAATATAGGGACTAGGCTTTGAACCGCTAATCCCCAACCCTCGACTTGTCTGTTTCAGGGCATTCCCCGCATAGTGCAAAGGAGCACAGCTTACAATCCCCAACAGTGGCTCTCGGCCATGGTTTTAACAGAGACTGCTGGCGGATCCATGTTAGCATTGAGGGAATGTAGCAATACTCACGATCTCCAGAGCAAACTCCCGTCTTCAAGGAAGATTTCCCTCACCTAAACGAACCTACTGCAGTCACAGTATGGCGTGGCTTACGAACACTGGGAGAGAAAAACTAACCTCCATTCCTGGCTCGAATGAGGAATTCATCTTAAACAATGCTCTTTTTCTTCTGGCTAAGGCTTAGCGAACCGTGAAATCCTGCCTGTTTCTGTAAACATCAAACCTTGAATCGGCAACCTTGGACAGTACACCCAGCACCTTTAATTGGATCTTTGCAGATCCTATTAGTGGCATGTAGGCTCGACGTGGTCTACGTACATCCCAATCCAGACTGTCTACTAATGCCACAAGTCGACCCCACAACGAAAACAATCCTTGTATTGGTCAAGAGACGAGCGTTGGGAGCATGCTTGGGATAACTTGGGGCGCGGCATGCGAACCATTGTGCTGTGTCCAAGTGGCAAGTCACTTTGCCACTTTTTCTTTCCGCCACGTATTCTTCTGCAGAGAGTTTCAGCAGCTCCTGCTGTGAGAGTCGCTAAACCAACAGCACGGTTTGGAGAAACTTTCGAAAAGAGTCACTCGCTGATGCTCTGGCAGCTTGGTGTTGATGCAAGAGCCTGCAGCTGTAGTGTGCATTCGGTACCTTGAAGGACCACTTGTGTGCACTCGGACCCACGTGGTATATGACAATGAATCTCCAAACGTCAACCCTGGGCGACTTCCTCGCGCTGCTAACCTGAGCACCACTGACGTGCTGTGTCTGGCCTTACCGACCGCGGCTCTTGCCCTAAGCTCGGCGAGATTTAAGCTCTGAAATGCGGGCGCTAAACACGCGCCTGCACAACGGAATGCAGATCGTAAATTCATGCGAGCGGATAAAACAGTTTCGGAACCCGAGCTTGTTAGAAAGCCATGCCTGGCACGAATTAGTTCATTGCCACCACGTTATTACTTATTAATGTCAGGTCAACCTTACTAAAGAAGCACCATGCAGCGTCTGCCAAACCTCATGACCCAAGAGAGAATCGTATCTACAATATTCCCATTGAATCCCTATGCAACTTTCCCATAGAAGCAACAAATCTCTTTAGACTGCATAGAATGAAGTCTATTGGGTCCATGTTTGCATAGATGAGGGTACTGACCAGAAGTCCCAAGCTACAATCGTTCGGCCACATGCCAGCAGTAACCCCAAGATGCCACGTGGAGGCTTTGCTGTGTCAAGGTTTAGGGTCCATTTGGCGACCCTAGCCCTCAAAATGAGGACCCAATGCCTGTCACAACGGCTTCGAGATCCTTGTCCTTAGACCCTATAATCGTTAGGCCCTAAATCGCGTGGACTGCCAAGCGGAAGTCTCAAGCCCTATGCTCTCAGTGCAACACCCCAAAGCCAAACCTGTGGATGAATCCTTCCACCAGATCAACAACATCCACGACCCCTATCTAGTTGAGTGCATGTTTGTTACTAGAGGTGGAGGGTGTTTTTTGGGACAGGGGATTTCATGCATCTAGGGGCTTGGGTTTAGCCTTTGGTCGTCCCATGAAACAATGAAAAGAGGGGCTAGATTTGCTTAACAGACCCTGAAGCACCAAGCTCCAAGCCCTGAAGCCAAAGCCTCAAACAATCAGCCTCCTAGGCTGAAGCTCAAAGGCTCAAAGCTGAAGCTTCAAGGCATCCCCGGAATGTATGTCGAAACCCAGTCAAAACCCTCGAAGGCCTTCTCACGCGGAGTGAGAGCTTGCGGTTTCTTCATGGGTACTGCCGCAAAGACTTTTTCACACCACCTGCGTGTTCAGCGACCCCTTTCGGGTTGACGCATTAAGGAATCAATCGGCTTACTATGGCCGTTAATGCTGTATGTAGAGCCTCTTGAGATTTCCATTTCTTCTCGACCGGGCTGTAATGCAAGAAATGCGACGTCTTCTCACCTATAACCTTCAATCCTCCTACATAACCCGCACAGGACAGCAAGAATCCTCTAAAATCTCTTCTTATTTCTGCGAGAACTTCTGAAGAATGCAATTGCTAAGCCTGAAATAGGAAGCAGCTTTTGCCTTTTGCGTCTCTTTTTGATCCGGCGCACATCATTTTAGTCAAGCACGAGCTTGCTAAACAACATTACGCTTAACCTTCATCAACTTGTGTTTGTTCCCTCGAGATGCACAGGCTCACGTCCGCAGCTCAAACCTCATGCAATCGCGGAGACGCCCCCTGCACGCCTGAAGAACATACACCGGACCGTGAACCCCAACCTTACAAAAAAAAAACACCACATCCCCAAGCTCGCAGACGCCCTACCACCTCTTCAGCTTCTCACCCTTCCGGCAGTCTGGTGGCGGGAAATCCACGCTCGGCTTGTACTTCTGACGTTTTGCCTCTGGTTGAAAGCTGAAATGAGGGCTTGAAAGGGAATATGCAAACACTAGAGAGATAGATAAAGAGATTCTTCAGCTGTTGCGGGAAACAACCCTTGGAAGTAATTCCCATCCATGTCCGGCAAGAGATCCTAAGTCTGGGGCCTGGGCAGTCTGCAAATTACTTGGGAATCCAAGGAACACCCTTCGTATCCCTGAATAGAGTATCTCTGAAGTATCCTAGTCTCAGAGCTCCAGGAAGGTAAGCTCCAGGGGGAGTACGGGCTTTGGTGGGAGGACAGGTTTACAGTCAGCATGGCTGAATCATGGTTTGGGACTCAAAGTTTGGGGTTCAAGGGTGCAGACTTTTACCACGCTAAGATTGGAGGCTGCGCGGTCACCTTCAACACACTCGATCCGATAGTCCGAATCTTATCCCGACTTTTTACTTTGTGGTCCAACGGTAAATGGACACGCCAAGTAACTCAATTGTAACGGCTTCTGGAACCTAAACCTTTCATCTTGGTATTCGGACTGTCCGGGAAACCTGCAGATTGACCTGCATCATACTGCGTGAAGTCTAAGACCATAAATTACAAGCAAGAATTCGAAGGAATGCACACCACAGTTTGAAAGCATGATCTTCCAGAATCACTGCATCTGCTTGTGATTAGTGGCGAAACTGGACGAGTCATTCTGAAAGGACCCTTGTGCCTTGTCACCGTACAATCGCCTTGCAATAGTTTGCCACGTGAAAACAAAGCCAGTCTGGGACAATTTGAAAAACAACGGTCGTGGTTGAGATCAGGCAAAACTCACCCGTTTACTCTGCTTAACCTGTCTTCAATCAATTCGTTTGTTGAGACTTTTCCTCTCCCAATTTAGACATTTGCCCTCTCGGTGCCTTCGGGGCATTTTGAGCGCTGCCAGCAGCAGGCCGCTTCTTTGGTGGCATGGCGGCTAAGCTTTATGCTCTTGAAGTGCTTAAATTGCTCGTGGCTGATGCTACTGTCCCTATATTGCTCGGTAACGCCTACATAGCCCCCCCCCAGAAAATCTGGAGTAATGTCTATTTGAGGATAAGCCTTGTTCCGCCAGCAAAATCAAGAGCAGGTGAACACTCTGAAGGCACTTGAGCCGTATCTGTTCAGCGCAAGAACTTCATAACACCTTTTTGGGGAGCTTCTCAAGACTGATCCATGCAGGGTGACCCTTCTCATCTCTTTTCCATCTCCATGTATCTCAACCCTAAACATGGCCCCAGAGTACCCAAGCATACCTTATCCACCCGCAACCCCAAATTGCAGAAGCTCCCATATCTCATAATGTGCTCTGCACATGGGGTAGGGTGTCGGGTCTGGTGTTCAACCGTCTAAACTCTGTATGTCCTTTCTTTTTCAGGTCTGTCCTGTTTGACATGCAGATCCCAACAAGAGCAAAACATCGAAGGTAAGGTTGCACTCTGAAGTCTATGTAGACTAGACCGGGATGGCGTAGTAGCTAGAGCTAAACCATCTCAGTGGCAATGTCAAGCAGAAGACAGGTGCTACCATTCGGATTACAAGTTTGCTCGGTGGTTCCTGGGAGAAGGTAGACTTACGCCCAAAAGATACCCAAGTCAACATATCAGGCATGACGGCATCAACATAGTTGTCCAACATGTGGCCCACTGATGAACACATGTAGACCTCCAAATGCTTCTGTTATTGTTGTCAAGTCCCTCGGCCCTCCAAGGTCAACTTGATCGTGTGCCAAAGCTCCAAGCGTAAAGATGCGTAAAGAAGGATGCTAATAGCTCAAAGCCTGAATCCGAGACATGCTTTTCACGGCCGCGATGAACTTGCTGCTTTGGCCCAATGATAGCATGCTAGTGCTGATGCGCAGAATCCTGGATGACCTTGTCTAACCAAAGGAAAGCTTGTAGGAACCATGGTAGTGTGGTATACTTGGAGTCATGCAGGGAACTGTCCATCAACATTCAAGCTGCAACATTGGGGGCTTCTCGATTTGAAGTCCTTCAGACCGATGACGGTATGGAGAAAGGTGGGCCAGCTTTTGAGGAACAAGTCAAAATAGGATCTGTTGCTGGACCAGCGATATATATGCCTGTATGTATGTATGCACTTGTACAACTTTTACATATAAGCGTGTTGGGACTCCGGTCTTGGTAAACTATAAAATCTCTGCTGAAACCTCTAACCTCTAAGCACGAAGGCCGAACCCCCCTCACCCTCAACCCTATTTAGAAACGTAGCCATTGCAGGCCGTTGACCTCTGGCCTGAAGCTTTGGCACTTGGGAGTTTGTCGCAGTCCCCTTCCTGAAAGAAACCTATGTCAAGACCGGTATCTGAATTGGATCCCAGATAGAGGGACCTGTACTATAATGTCTAGGAACAACCCTCAATGTCAGGCTTTTCACTGGATTCTGTCAGCTGCACTTGATTACTTACTCTAGCTTCTGCATCGTCATGGCCTACTCTTCAAACAGGATTCAGAAGGACCCTGTCGAACTCTGCACCAACCACCAAGAGCTGCTAGCATAAGTTCAGCATCTTGCTTGGAATCCAAGCATAGTTTTCCGTTCATCTTGAGGTACCAGGTATGTTTCAAGGATTGCAAGCGCAGGTACCCCACACTTCTTGAGATCCCTGTGGGGGGCTCTGACGCGCAAAGTCAACGCTCATCTGTGGCAAGGAGGTCTTTAGGAAAACAACGCCAATACAATGTTACAGTTCTCCCTCTCAAGAACCGCTTTGTACAGAAAATGTTCCGCTGCAGCTGATACATGTTTAGGGTCTACCCAGGTAAGTCAATGCTTCAGGTGGTCGATTTTGGAGCTACGCCTGTTTCGCTTGAAGCATCTGAGAGTCAAAAGGCCTTTCAACTCAGCCAGCTGGCATCAATCATAGCATCCCGCAAAGGCTCTCAAAGCAAAAGTCACCGTAAACCCACAGCCAAAATTCCAACATGATCGCTACTCTACAACCCTTAAAAATACCAAATCCCTCGAAGCCCCTGAGGCCACAACAATCTCCACATAGTCACATTGGAGGCAGCTTATACAAAGCTGCATCGACGTCTACGAGAAGAGGTCTGCGGCCATAGCAGGTGTCACTCGCTGAAGTGCAGGATCAGCATGTAAGACTTCGACCACTCGGGAAGCCAAGTGCAGGAATTCAACGCTCCTTGGCACAAAGAGTGGAAGAACTCTTGCACTACATTTGATCCTTGAACTAATGGCACTACGTTTCATCCCTGAAGTCTTGTGACTATCTACAAATGCGAAGGTATAGTGTACAACTTGGGGCGGGAGCTCCTCAATGCACAATACGCTTTGTTCTGTGCACCACTTTCCGGCAGTTCTTGTCAGTCTGAGGCTGTCAGTCTCACGGCTCAGGGCTACTGGTTGAACGGTCTGTTTGTCTCTGAACCATCCTTAAGGAAGAAAAAGGTAGCGTAAGACCAGCGGAAACGAAGGTGCTTGTCTGGTTCCCTCTATAGAGACAGGGCAAACGGCGATAAATGACGGATGTTTAGAAGTGTTTGCGAACAGTTGCTAACAGCGAATGTTCAACATGGTCATCATCACCACCAAAGCAAGCTGCGCAGCTATTTAAACAGAAGGACCCACGGGCCGACAATGACATCGCGCGATGAAGGTGCACGCGTCTCAGAGTTTCAGAATGACCCCCTAAGCCCTAAGGTTTGTTGCGCAGGGCACTGGACCTCAGAGGGGGACCATGCGCCGAACAGTAGCTGTCCCAAGCGATGCAAACCACGCAAATATTTGCTGCAAAAGACCCTCGAAAAGCATTCAGGAAAAACGAAGACAGTCGCGCGGATTCGGCGAGGATGGGCGACCCTGACCCGCACGAACCAGGCGACCGCTGACGCTTTTTACATGTACAGGCGATGACGATGCATGGGCCCAGACACAGCAACAGTTACGTTGGTGGCCCCCACAACCAACTGTTGACGCTTCACATGCCATGAAGAGGTTCCAGAAACTATGACAGCTACTGCGAATAGGATGGCATTGAACTTCAGCCAAGACTCCGTCGCGTGGAGCATTCATCCTTGAACATGTCTGCATAGTCTACGGCTCGCCCCCAAAGCTGAATGCCAGTGGGCCTGCCGTCTTCAGTAACACCTAGGCTCAGGGACTTGAACATGTGGGTTCACTAACATCCGCTGGTGACCCTTCATCTTCTGAAACCCACAAATCTTTCGCAGCTGGCCTGTGGGAACCGCGAGCTTGGGAATATGGATGTCCTTCAAGATCTCATTGATGGGATATACCTTCTTCCAGCTTCAAGGTTTGGGGTCTCCAGTGTAGGGGCTACGACTTAGTATGACGAAGGGGCCACTGGAGCGGTGGTAGGAATATGTGGACTATGAGATCTGTTCGAAAAATGGATGAGAAATGCCATGTGTTGCAAACTTACAAGCTCAGGCCCCCAAACTCTACAATTAGCACGCAAGCTAGCTGGACCGTCATGTGAGACTCCCTTACACAGGTAAAAGCTTCAATCTCTGATGTGCCGCATGTTGACCAGATATGGCTAATCGGGTAGTGTAGGCTAGTCCTCAACACTTACCGCACACACCAGACAAAGCAGTAATAAATGAAAACATACTACAGCGTGGACATAACATGAACACTCTAGCTGACATAACCTGACATGACCTGGTTGAAACTTCAACAGTCCTCCCACATATGCGCAAAGATTCAAGTAAATAGGACCAAAGCACACTTTCCCACATACTTGACAGCGTGGGTTGGCCTTCAGCATCCACAGCCTTGGTAGCGCTACGCAGGGAGTGACTGGGATATTGCAGGATGTAAAGTTTGGGGAGCTGGGTCATAAGCTTTAAGCTCTGTTCTCAAGGGCGAAAATTGGCATCTGTAGCGTACGCTGCATACTTTCCGTTCTAGGAGAACGGGTGTTTATCTGACACTCGCCTTAAACCCTGAAGCTGAACCCCTGCCTGAAGCAAATCAACAAGTAGGCCTGAGGTCGTAGCGTGACAGGCTAGCTTACAAGGGACTGCTGTCATTATGGGGCCCATTTGAGTTTGGCAGCATGTAAGTCCTTAGGTAAATGCTAAGGCGGTAGAAACAACCAACGAAAGTGTCATTTCAAATTCTGAGCCACTTGCTCAGAATTGGCGCTTGCTCACTGGTTGAAACCATGGGCCCCGAGTGTGGGCCACCAACGGCTATGTATATGTGCATATATATATATATATACACCCTTAAATATCCTTAAATATCACCCGAAAAACATAAATTGTCTTGCCCTCTTATAACATTGGAGGCAATGAAGGCCAGCTTAAAGGGTCAAGGTTATAACCTGACATACTTACTCCGGAATCGAAAGCCGTGTGCACCGTGTACACTCCCGCCCCACCTCGCCTGATCCCTGAAAACAACACCTCTTGAAGCTTACGCCTTCAACCAGTAGCCCCTGACCTGACTTGAACCCTCACCCACGAGACGAAAACCATGAGGTATCTGGAACCTGTGGGCTCCAAGCAGCCGGCATAGCGCGTGTCAAGGCCTGAGACAAGTCTGGCGTGGCATTGAACGCAGCTGGTACCTGGGCTTCTCGAAACTTTTCATACGAGAAAAGGCAAAGTGATTTACAATGGGTTTGAAATTCGGTTATCGTAAGTGTGAAGTGACAAACGCAGGGTTTGGGGGGATTTGCTAAAAGTGGAATTGGCTGAAGGCTGCTCAGATTGCCGCCAGGACATAAACTTCATATCCGGCATTTAGGATTCCAGACTTACTATGCGGGTGGTTGCAGCTTACAAGGTGCATGGAGCAGACTAGCGTAGAAATCTGAAAGGCAGGCTTGGGCAGGTCTACTCCGAGCCTGGACATCTGGATCCTAGACTTTCCTTGTGAGCCTGGACAATCCTCAGGTGGGTTTGACTCATGTAGACTCTGTACAATCACCGTGCTGCGCAGACCCCGGCCCCAACTCTGCAGCTTCTTACTGGCCAACTTCATTCAGCATTAGGGTAAATTTAAGGTCAAAGGCTAAAAGATGCTGGAGGCATTTTGTGTGAATGTCGTTCAAGGTGGGTTGCCACCACACAGGCTGGCATGGCGAACCAACGTTGGTTTTGGTTTGGGAGTTGATGGGTCTGTTTTGTTGTGTTCGCGCTTGCTTTCTCCATATACCCACAGAGGGATAGAGGATCCCGTCCGGTGCGTAGCTACTGGTAGCATTCATGAAAAGCACAAAAAGCCTTTGTCCTGCAAAGCCAAAAGAACGCCTCGCAAGCGGAGCCTAGGAACCCTAAACCCTGGGCGGTAAACCCTCAGCGCGAACCCCAGCATATCCACACGGGCGTGCGCCAGTTCACAATTTCCTTCACAACCTGGGGACGTGGAGAATATCATTCTGATTAACTAACTGCCGTCTTTGTATGAGCAAGAGAGCCTGCAGGGGCTGTGGAGATATCTAGGAGCTCTCATCCCATCATGAAAGTTCAATTTCCAAGCGCAAATCATTTCGTTGGAGCTGACGTTGTGGCGCAACAGTCCTGTCTCTTCGGCTGTTTCCACGACCTAATTAACCATGAACCGCAGCAGAAGTGCACGCACTGAAAACCTTGCTGGGGCGGCATGACAACTGACGAAAATTCTCCAATCACGGCAAACTAACTGTAATCTTGAAGGCAGTTTGTCTTGAAGGCAGTTATTACAATTCAGGTTCTCCGAGAATTTGCTTTGCATTACAATCCGCCCTAAAGCCCAAACTACAAACAGCAACCCCAAAGCCAAGGCCAAAACCCTGAACATCCCATACCCCTAGCCAGTCAGAGCTGCGAGGATAAAGTCCACGCCTTCTGCATCGAAGAGCGAGTTATAGCGGCGCACCTGGTCCTCTGGGAAAGTGGCTGGGGGTATTCCATTTGAGATAATCTAAGAAGTAGGGTTCAGGATTACAAGTGTTGCGCTACAAGTTTTGGCGCCAAGTGTTTGATATGCCTGACAAGGACTATGCGAAGGCCTTTTAGGGACCACAGGCGGTTTGCGGTTTCGGGCGCGATTCAAAAAATACTGTGTAGACTTTAGGGTCAGAAATCTTATAGATGCAAGGGCTGAATCTCCATGGCTATGGTATTGTGGATCATGTTCAGGCCAGTCTAGCCTAGGGCCAAAGATGACGGCTGTGGGGCAGAAAGTTACGGACATCGGCGCCTAGAGTGTTCCCTGAGTCCTGAGGGCTCTGGGGATTAGTCAGAAAGGGTGATCTGGATTCTATAGGAAGCCAAAGCAAACACACACATTGAGGGGGATCCTCGACCAAATGCCTGAAACTCTTCAAGCTCATTCATTCATACATTCAACTGGGCACACAACATATTTTTCAAGACTCCACACCTTTCCTGGCGGCCCGCAGCCATATTTGCGTTGGGGCTAAACGGTTCAAACTTTATGGCCTCTAGGGCTTAGAGAGGGCTTTGCTCGGTGCATGGTGCCACATAGTAAACCCCTAAACCCGCGGGCTTTCATGAGGTTCGCACGCAGCCTGTCCTTACACCCGGACACCAAACCCGGCTGATCCTTCTTTCTCTTAAGGTGTGGCTCGGCACGTTTTCTCCGAGGTATCGCTCGAATGCTTTTCGACTGTTGGCAGTTTTGAAACGTGAGGAAGATATAAAGGCCCAATCGCGAGGACAATTTCGAGAATGGCGCGTTGACACTTTTGACACGCAAGGAAAAGGTGAGGGCCCGACACGATGACAATGACAAGAATGGTGACCCCGACCCACCTGAGCCCGGTGAAGGTTTGCAGGCACGCAAGAAATGCTATCAGGGCCCATGATGAGCGGCCCATGACAGTTACTTTACGATTATAGCGGCCCACCTGATTCCGCTGAGTGTTCGCACTCTTGACATGAACACAAATGCGTGGGTCCAAAAACGACGACACTTAGGCATGGCGACCGCAAGCTGCGCATTTCTTGCTAGCACTTTTGAAACGCAACAAGCACGTGAGGGCAATTTTGTGATGCAGCACTATATTGCAGATGGCAAAACTCGTTGTACCTGCTGGAACGCCACAGGTAGCGCAAACCGTGTGTTCTCAAGATCCACATGCTGCTGCACCCTGACGCGCTGGAAACTGACGTGCTCTGTTATCTCATTGCCCAACCTTTTTCAACAGCAGCGATGGGGAGCGTGAAGCCCGCTTGCAAGACTTTGGCGAAGATAAAGCCACCCGAAGCTTCACACGTTGCGCTTGAGCTTCTGCTGGATAATTGTGTTTTTATCTGTGTTTCCTGGCCTCAGCAATGGGTGGGTGGGGATGGGGAGGGGCACAGCCCCCCCATGTGCAAAGCATTGACGAAGACGCAAGCATCTTAACATTCACCTGTTGCTGGTGGGGTTTTGCTGGATAGCCGCTGGTGAAGTGCTGTGCCGTTTAACTCTGTTTAACTGCCTGTGTTTCATAAAGCAGCGAGGGTTTGGGAGCAAGCTCTCCCTTCGAAGAACTAGCGAAGATGAACTCATCTGAAGATTCACCAACTTGCCGGTCCAAACGTGATCTCCCATCGGTTTGTTTGTCATAAAACGCCGAGGAGGTTGGGGATCTCAAGCCAACTGAAGATTCACACCTTGCTTGTGGCGTCTGGGCGGATACTCATGCGCGTTGCCATTTTTCACAGCCTGTGTTTCTTGAAGCAGCGGGAAGACTGGGAAGCTAACCGTCTCCTCACTCGAAGGACCCATCAATCTGAAGATGCACAACGAGATCAGAGGACCAGGGGACCAACTCACCGAGCCACACCCGCGAAAAACACAAACCATGACCCTAAGCACCAGATAATATGCCCATGACTCATGAATCTTAAAGTCTCCCACCCAATCCCCCCACTGCACCTCGATGTGCGGCCCCATGGCATAGCGATAGTCTGTCTCACTCTTGCAAGGCGGGTCGCCCAGGTTGTAAAAGCCTTCTGCTCCACACAAATTTGGAATCAAACATCAGTGGCCATGACCGTGGTAGTTGGCCCCTTTGTGGGGCGAATTCAAAGTAGTCCCGAACTCTGGAAAGGGGACCCTTAGAACCGACTACCTGATATGCTCAAGACTCCGTCAACAAGCCCAATCACATATCACCTATAGGCTATATGTGCGTGGGTCCATCTCCGTTTACCCTTTCTGAGCTGTGCCCTGTCGTTTTCCCTTTGTCTATTGATGCATGTTTTGCGCATCGGTTCAAATAATCAGGGCCATGCCCCCAAAAGAACCACAATAAAGTGTAATATCATCATCGTCAGCATCACCAACATCATCACTGAACCTAGCAGCGTTCTGAGGACTTCAGAGGCCCAGCAGCGATTGGGTATGTGCTCTTCACAGGCTGTTGTGTCATCAGCAATCTCCTTCAAGCTGACCTGGGCTGACGGTTTATAAGACTGTAGGCTTGTCGCTTCGGACTTGGGCCTTTGGGGTTCAGGCTGCGGTTCATTGTGGTGTGAGGGCATTTAGGGGTTTAAGTTGCTGCGCTTGATGAATTTGGTGCGTGCCATGGTCTAGGCGATGAGTTTGCCTCTTGGCAATGGAGACTGCATCGTATTTTTCGAGTTCATTGGAAAAAAGAGCATTGGCCGGGGGTGCGAAACTTTTTCGGAGCTGCACATGCTATCTACGGGGACTGGCATCAGGATCCCAAGTGTCAGTCGGGTCTGTTGGAAAAGAAAGAATGGACCTGCGAATCAAGCCTTAAGCCGTCGAGCCGCTCGAACAGTCTGCTTAAATCTCCATGTTGCATGATCTCACTCAAGAGAGACCGTGAACTGTAACAGACCCCTCGCACCCTGAAACCGCAGATCTTGAACGCTGAGCCTAGCCCTTAAGCAGAACCCTAGACCTTTGAAATCAAACCCTGAAATCTTAAAGTGGAACCCAGCCACGGGCGCATCCAGATATTCGAAAACAAACTGCGCTATCTGGCCAAGGAAGGTATGCATGGTCCAGAGCCTTGCCCGCAGTGCTCAAGATAGCATATTTACTTGGCCTTCGAACTTCAAGCTGGTTGGTAGACAGCTACTTTCGGGAATCAGTACCAGTATTGCAGCTACTTGGACCGTTAGGAAAAGCGCGTGGATTAGGGTCTTGATGGCTTCGGGATTAGGTTTCAGAGTTTAACACTGAGGTTCCTCGTGGGCCTGAAATTGTAGTCAATCAAGGGATGGATCCCTGCGATAATGCAAGTCGACATCGTCCAAACCCAAAAATCTTGCAGCCAAACCCTAGACCCTTTCCCTCAATCCCCAACTGTACTTCCAGGTCATGCTTCCCGGCAGCTATAGGATGCATATATACGTTTATAAGTGGGAAGACGAGTACTCGTGGAACTGCACGCAACCTAGTAGCACAGCAAAAGTCGCTGGACAATGAATGAGCAACACCAACAATAAGTGAATCCTGAACTCCCTGGACCCCAGACCCTAACTTTTTGACCCCTAAGCTTTCCATGAGTTCTATGCCCATAACTGTAGAACCTACCCCTACTCCGTCATTCTCATCTAACATGAGGCAAGCAGCAAGGTTTCCGGCTTTAGCTCCAATGGCAGTATGCCGGTTGTGCTTTCCTCGACTGTGAATGTCTCACATGTTGTACGTAGGACTACAAGAGCCTAAGCCTTAAGCCCGACAGGGCAAGTTGAAAGAATTCGGGCCCATGACCCATTCTTACTGTTTAAGCTATGATGCGGTTGCTGTCATGGAGGGCGCACGGTTCACACGGGAGGTCGAGATTCAGGGCTTAGGGACTCAGGGTTTGCTGATGGCCAAAACTGTGCGTTATCCTGCCTGTACTCTGCATACCATAGTTTCTGAGGTCTTGCTAAATAGGGCCTTGGCACTGTACCCATTGAGCCCTGAGCCTTCAGAGCAAACTCAACTGAATGCACCCAAAACGCTTGCCCCCTCCACAAAATGTCTCCTCTTAAGCCATGCCAAGCTTCTGAAGCCTTTGACCAACAAACATCTTTCACGGACACCGCTTTCCTGTGTTGCTATTAAGCGTTGCAGAGACCATCGATGCGGGATACTGACCCTCTTCGCCGCCTAAACCCTAAACTCGCTTACGAGCATTGCAGGGCCCATTGTTTTGAACCCAAAGTTACCGAACACGCAGAATGACAACAAAAAGAGTTGACCACGAAGCCATTGATGAAGAAACAGGGACGCACATTTCCGTGAATGGAGCAAACCTTGCACTTAAGGAACTGCAGTATCTAAGCTTTTAGAAAATAGTGCAAGGTTTGCTTCGACAAAAATGGCACCAATGCATTAAGGAACTTCAGCGCAGTCTTGCAAGCAAGGTAGGGCTTGCCTGGATTGCAGGCAAGGCTGTTGGACAGACAAGCCAATATCTCTACAGTGACGGCTGGATAGCTCAGATTTCCTCTCATTTCAGAGCATACTACGCTTCCCAATGCATGGATACAAGCCATGCTGCGGGACACTACCTGCAGTACCCTCAAACGAGAACTCGGGTAGTTGAGTTATGAACAACATGGTTCAGTACTCAAGGGCTTGGGCTTTGGGTAAAAGCGCTTCTGCAACTTTTAAACTATATGAAAAGAATAAAAAACTGCTTTCCAAGACCCAGATCAATGCCTGATTGCATGTTTGACCTGTCTATGCCACCATCAAGCCCACATGCCCCTACATGTTTCCAAGCATACATGGGCCCCAAACGCAGGGACCAGAAGGAACCTGTGACAGATATCCCTGGCACCATTCCAAGCAATAACCGCCCCTTCTGCCCAGTTGCGCATGGATTCATCCAACTGCCGGCTGTTTGACCGCAGCCACGGGACTTCGGGAAAGGCGACCACAATGCTTTTCAAATCTCTCTGCTGGGAGGACTTCCTTAAATTTCAGCCCCAAGAACAAAGCCCACGCAAAGTTTCGCGCTTGAGTACATGCATAAACTTCAAGCTTCCGATCCTGTTCATGCTTCACAACAGCTCCAAAGCAGCGGGAAATCCTATGTGATCTTGTCCCCTTGGGTGAATAGTGCTGCGAAGGGCCCCGCCTTCACAAATCAATTGACAAGGGAAGCACTTGACCAAACACCATGCTGGTAGGGTTGGACTGTCCTGGAAATCTCCGTTAGAGCCGTTAGAAGTAAGCCAACCAGGTAAGGGTGTCCCAACGCTGCAACCAACTTCTGTCGAATAACAGCAGACTAGTCTCTGTGCTGCGTTGTGCAAAGCCTCAGCGTTGTGCCTCTGCTGCATGAGAGCCCTGTCGTAGAAGAGGATATCTCTCCTTCGTGGGATTCAAGCTTTGGGTTTGAGCGCTCAGGGTTCTCACCCTGAACCTGTGAACGCAAAACCCTACATACAAAAGGTGCGAAATCAGGATAAATAGGATTGCTAGAAATGAGTAAGGGGATAAGACGCACTAAAAATAAGGAAAGTCAAACCTCTTGTAAAGAACTCCAAAAAGGTCAGTTATCTGTGTGGAAGAGTCAAGGCGGAACAAGTTCTAAGGACGATCCAACCTAAGTATACAAAGCCATGAAACGCGAAACCCTGAGCCCGAAGAAGCGCCAACATGAGACAAGGACTTCTGAGCAGTTTTGTTGAGTCTCATACTCCGGCAGAGGACTCCGATCTGGTCTCTGGTGAAAGACATGCCGCAGTTTCCCTCATTCCTGGGCTTAGAGTTTGGTGGCAGCAGCTTTCCAATCATCCAGTCTGTTATTATGCGTTGGGCATGTTGGGCTTCAGTCTTCGTAAAAATGTAAAATTCTGCCTCAAGAGTTTCAAAGATTCGGATAGTGATTCCGCGCTGGATCGAAGCCTCAGGTTTGGCCAAAGTGTAGCACAGTTTAGGGTTGAGGGTGGGCAGTCATGAGGTTCTTGCCAGGACTGATAGGACAGGTTCAACTTTCTGGATAAACTATCCAAACAACAGTGGCAGTTTCAACTTACACGTCAGGTACGCAACTACAAACATGATGGCTTTCCACTGTGGACATGAAAAATGAAAAGGCCCTTAACCGCAGTACATGGCCTCAAACGGCTTAAGTTTGAGGGTCTTTTTTTGTCGGGCGTGAGGGGACGTCTTGACAGCACCACCCTGGCGCATGCGCAGACTCCAAGCCGCGAAGTTACCCCCTCTTCTCAAAACTGAACAGTGCACCAAGCATGTGGTGAAACCACGATTTTGAGATATCATGCCGTTGCTGGCCTACCAAGAGAAACCAGGAGCCAGCGAAGCAGAGTAGACATGAGTTTAGGGGGGCGGTGGATCTTACCTGGCTTACCCTGAAGGTCCAGATACCTAAGCCCTCAAGCCTACATGAAGATGAAGGTCTAGGTTCACAGTCTTTCATGAATCCGCGAGGTGAACCGTAGGCTATTGTGCTATTGTTGCACGTTTCGACCAGGCTTGCTGAAGACCCAAAACCTAAATCATTCACTCATGAGTTCTGCAGTCTGCCTGTAAGATCTATGCTGCTTAGACTTTAAGATTGATTCCTGAGGCCAAGACTGAATTTGCATAAGCCTTATCCAAGAACCCCTGGACTCCAATTCTTGAACCCTATGCCTCACTCATCCCTATCTAATCCCCAGGAGACCATGCGAAACCCCTCTATAACTTACTTTTGTCCAGCTGCCAAAGAGGCCATTGAAGAGGGCTGGTACGCGGGTGGAGCCGCCAGTGTCCTCACTTACCTCGGGTTTGAAGAGGTGTTGGCTTAGGACTTTGGGCTGGAGTTTGGGGCTAAGGATGATTGAGGGTGCAAGGATATGGGGCATTGAGGTCGCGGGATGAGCTTTGGAACTTAAGTTCTTAAGTCTTCAGGTTTGGGGTTTAGGGGCACACCAGGAACTTCGGATGCACTATCGCTGAGGCCGTAAGGGCCCAGATACCTGAAATCCAACATGCTTTCTATCATCTTCATTGTTTTTGCGTATTGGGTCTTGGTGCCTAAAACGCGGATAGTCCGGTACTTGGATTGGAATGTTAAATGAAATTTCAGACTAGTGAAGAGTTTCCAAACCAGGACGAAGATTATAGCCCATCTTTCTCCTCCCTTTAATGTCTGAAGTGTAAACGGTGAAGAGCTCAGGTTTAGGATCTAGGGATACAAGATTTAGGGTTCAGGAGTCTTGGGCCTAAGTTCTGACATTTAAAAATTGGTTTCAGAAGCTTGTGTGCGGTTCAAGGGCCGCGGCTTTCAGGTTCTCAGAGTTTGGGGGATTCAGGCTTCGGGTTCTAGGTGATGTGCTGATCCGAATTCTTGAGCGTCACTTTGCCGAGCCAAAGCCGGGAAGCAGGAAGAGCAAAACCTGCTGCGCTAGCTCTGAGCCACTGCCACTGGACACATGTGCATGCTAGCGGTCGATCCTGCTCCCCCTGAACCTGGGTTGAGATTGTAGGGGTTGAGAAGACCAGTTTGTGGGGAGCGATTTGGAAGCAAGTAGGGTTGTGGGTTGCTCAGTTATGGCTTTATGGGCGAAGGTTTGAGGACCAGGGTTCACTGTTTAGGGACTCATGGATTCACGGCTGGAGGTCCAGGGTTCATGAGTGTATATATGGTTCAGGTTCAAGAGCTATTTCTTGGGTGTTACAATGATGAAAACAGTGCACTTAGACGGGTGCTAGCTTTGAAAAGTGCTGGGGGCGCGGGCAGTGGCCAGCAGCTTAAAGCACTGCGCTGGAACCCCCTTCAAGTGAATCTAAACTCCAAACTCCGTGCCCGCAACTCTGAACGACTCCAACCCCTCAGCCCAAAACCATACAGCCTGAACTGTGAACCCGGAACACCCCTCTTAAACCTGCTCAGCAGCTGCCCCCAGGTGAAAATGCATGATTGTATGGGTTGCGGCACTGGCCGCTGGCAGGATTCATCGTATTGACGGAGCATGCAAACCTGCACTAGCCTTCTGCGAAGAAGATAGCAACGTAAAGTTGTAGGAAGAAGGGTTTACGGTTTGCAGAAATTACATGGTTTCCGCATGGGCAGTCAAGGAGAGGAAGCTAAAGTTCTGCTTGAACCTTGACCTTAGACATTGCTTCTGCACTGTGTTCAGGATTAAGCTCAAAATCAATTAACAAAAGCAGAACACTTGACCCAAACCCTAGACCGCGCATCGAAGAAACTCCGGAACGTTGGTAGTCCCGAGGATGATTCCGTTGCGCTTGTAGATCAGATCTGTAAGCTCGCTGTTCCTTGCCCGCACTACGGCAACTGCTGTTAATTTCCAAAGTACTGGCTAAGGTGCACAGGGGCTAGGTTTCGGGCTCAAGGTGCTGAAGTTGGACACTTTGCACGCGATAGCCAGGGCCATTTTTCGAAAGCTTGCAGGTTGTTGGGTACAAGGACTTGTTTGAGCACCGAGCAAGCCAATCGCCTTGAAATCAGGCCTAGGATAAGAGTCCATGACATGCAAAGAGCTACACTTCAAGGATCCGGACACCCGAATCGAACCCTAACAATAAACCCGAGGCCCCGCACCGCTTACCCTTGACCAACACATGTAAAGCCGAAGCTTTCTCTGCGTCGAGCCCCAACAACTGGAAAGTCAGATGGCTCCCAAGCCGGTTGAACTTCCCCTAGCGTTTAATTTGACTCCGCAACAAGCTATCCTGATGTACAGCCTGCTAGACAGCGCCAGCTTCTTCACAGGCGTGTATTGGCTCAGGATTCCCACGCCGCAGCCCGATGGGAAGTCCACCACAGCCGCAGTTCCTTTCATGGGTATAGGTAAGCCATACCTCGGCAACTGGTTGATTTGGGAGCTTAGGGGTTAAAGGGTATAAAGATTGCTGGGGAGTGTGCACTCCATACCTGAGTGGCTGAGGGACTCGCATCTTGAACCCTAAAACCCTAAACCATGTTTAGGCTTATGTGTTGCAACATAGGGGCCTAGGGGCCTAGGGTTAGGGTGTTTGCCTGCACAAGGCCTCTAGGAGCCACCACCAGCAACAGTCACAAGGGCAATTTCCAAATTAAGGACTAATGTTGAAACCAAGCTACCACCAACCCACGACACGCTACAATGAGGCAAGACTTGCGGAAATAGCCGTGGCTTGCCAGCTGCATTCATGCATCAGGTTTTGAATGGCACAATGGGCAAGCTTTCCCACAGCTAGTTTAGGGTTTATGTGGTGAGCTTCGGGGTTACAGGGCGTAGCGCTTTTTAGGCCAAACATGCACACTTTCTAGCATCAGCGTGGCGTCTAAGCCCTTGTTTGGCGTAAAAATCTGCACTAGTGGAGAGCAGTTTTTGTCTGCAATCAAAGAAGGTCTGAAAATTGGAAAGGGACATCCAACCGGATATACTAGGTTCCCTACAAGCAAGTAGAAATGATTCTGCGTTTTTGGTGTCAAGTAGTTTCATCTGATGCCTGGGAGCCCCGAACGAGAACAAAAGGCTTTTTAGCGTTGGGAGACCTAGCCCAAGTACACCTGAATGACACTCAGGCTGTGTTGGCATGTTCTTGGACTGCTGTGATGAATTTCCCAGGCCCTAGCGCCTAAATCCTGGCCAAGAAGCTCTTGCCTTTATCCAGATGCACTCAACTTTCCAATTCCCATCGCACCCGCTTGACCAGCCCCCACCCCCCCCCCCAGCGACAAGACTTTAACCTGTGAGCAACTTCGGTGAATCGTAACCAAGCTAGCATGGAACGCCTACAGGAGCACTGTTCCCTTGATGCTTACTACGTGGGGCTCCATGCTTTAAGCAAGAAAGGTCAGTACAGTACCACCCGAGAGTGCTTGTCCGAGGCACAGTGGGGCCAGCGCATCCACACCCTCCTTCGCAGCTTTCTTGTCCAAAGCGGCAGCTCGTTTGACCTCACTCGCGAAAGGCTTTGGGAATAGGGCCTCAGGCTTAGAGTTTAGGGTTCGAGGCTTCACAGGGTCTGCCAAACTGACACGCAATCATGGAACCCCTATGGCCTAAGTAGTCTACTATCAGATGAATCGGCTGCGTATGGCGTTCCAGGTTTGTTTTGGGACATTTTGAACAGCCATTTGCCTGCAACCGAGAGTCAGAATCCTTATCATGGCAGGTCTTCAGAACCCAAGTAGCTTATAGAGGTTTCGACTGGATTTCCAACACCTGTTCTGGAATGCGCATATATTTGCCTTTTCGAAAATGACGCTGGGATGCACTTACGTTTCAACTATCTGCACACCATCTGTGGCCTATGTAACCATGTATTAAGGAAATCTTGCCTCCTGGTCTTCATGCCAACAGAGGCCACGCCAACATTGTTGCCGCCTGGTTGATATCTTTTGGTTTACATCAATCAACAACGGAGCTCGTATGAGTATCCTGCTGACCATCCAAGTTACAGCCACGTCCAGGAGGTCGTAGCTACGAAAGATCCACCTTGGCTGGGCTATGAACTACCCATTGCGAATCACGAATTTAGGGCGCAGGGCAAGGTATCTCCGCTGATTCTCTCAAAGGGAATGCCTTAAGTCGTAGTTTTGTGTCAAAAGTAGAAGGCCTTCTCCTGCAAAACCGGAATCCAAACGTGACAGCGCTTTAAGGCACTGCAGGGCTAGGTGCCCATGCATTTTCTTGACTGTCACCTTGCAGCTATATATAACAATGTCACCATATGCCATGTATGATGCCTAAACTGCAATCGGCAGCCAAGCTGCTACCAGGCAATTTCGTGTTTAGGATCAACAGGCATGACTGCAAAGCACAAACCAAATCCTGGTCTATGACTGCTTGGAGCCTAATCTCTAACATCTGCACCCCGCGACCTTTATCCTGCAATCCTAAACCCGAGAAAATCCCAAACACGAGAGTTTGTAGACAGCCTTAAAGAATCCCAAACAAAAAGCCAGGCACTGATTCATGTAGCGGTAGTATCTAGCCCGCCGGACGAGCAAAGAGGTGTACTCCTGACCTTGATAACCATGACAATGACAAGCAGGTGATGGGAATCGTAGTATGTCAGTCCTCTTGCGGCATGCTTCTGATTTGACAATTACGAGTATGTGGCGATGACTGTAGAAATACCTTCCCTGGTAATGAAGGTGGTTCCAGCGCACAGCCCAGCGCACCACTAGCTGGATGGAGGGACTATGACCAAAACGTCAACTGGTCCAGTTGGATTCCAAACTCTGGGGTAGAGAGCTTAGAGTGTAGAGCGCGTGGGTTGATGTAATGGTTTATACACGGGTAGCGTTCCAACTGCAAACCCTGAGACAATTGACTTGTCTGTCTGCGGACATGCAAGACAAGATTGCTGTTGGTTGCAGATGAGTAGTGACTTAATTTGACAGTGCTGTGATGAAGTAGAACGGTTCAGCACCTGTATGTCTCCATGACAAGTGGTTGTGCGCTGAAAACTTCCTTTCTAAGGTTGAAACCATGGCCCCCTAATATGGGCACTTAAGAATTCCTCTAGGGGGGTACTAGGGACCTTTCAGGGTACATATATGTATGTCCGAGTATATAGTGAGTATATAAGGATCCCAGTGTTAAGGGCCCATACCAGGGGCTCATGGTTTCAACTTTAGATCCTTCATGTCACCTACTGTCTGCGGTAATCATCGCTTCCTTTCCATGGAGGATCCTGCGTCTATTGGGAAGGGCAACAAAACAGGATGGCTTGACGTCCCTCAACCACATGAGGTTTGGTAGGTTTTGCAAGTATGAGCGTGTACAAACCTACCAGTAACATAAACATATACCCAAGGAGGCAGCCTTCACAGTGTTCCAGATGGGTTGACCCTCAACAGTCAAAATCTATTCGTGGGTGCTGCACTACTCTTGGTATCAGAAACACGGGAGGCGCGCGAACCTGGATGCTTCTGATCATTCGGGGTCGCTGACCGAATCCCAAAACCTCAAACCCTGCAGCTGCAACCTAGAAGTTTGGGGATGCGAACGTCGAGTCCCCCGTAATGACCTGATGCATCTACAGTAGTGGTCCGAAGGTCAGACCTTTGGGGAATCCATGTTGTGATTATCTCTGGGCACGCCATGCAAACCACGATGGAAGATCCAAGTGACAGGTCACTTTGCCAGTCTTTCTCTCCGCTACATATTCTTCTGCAGAGAGCTTCAAAAGCTCCTGTTTGTTAAGCGACTTGCGAGGTTGTACGTAGATTTGCTTTGGTCTGGGGAGTTTCTACTCCGGTAATAATCTGACTGGATCACTGGACACTGTGAATCTTCATATCATTCGTTTCCATGATGATTCCAGGCGACCCACTTAGGCAACTGACGGCCAATACTCGTAGGTATATGCATGCATGTCAAATTTAGATGACTTTATTACTGTATTCTCAACTGGGTTAGTATTCTTGATGCACTGAAGTATAGCGCCTACCTCTGACACTCCTCCTGACTGCAACCAGCAACTGCGGTTGTTTGGACCCTGACAACGTTCTGCAGTAAAGAACCCTGAGAGGTCAACCTAGAGAAACGCACCACTGGAACCCAGACATACCCCTGAACACATCTTGACTTGACACCCGTTTTTTGGCTATCGATGAATTCGGAACATCCAAGCTGGATAAGGTCCTTCTCGCGGGGCGTGAGAGGTTGCGGTTTCTTCATCGGCACTGCCGCGAACACATCCTCATACCACCTCAGGGGGTTAAGGGGTCTAAATTGGGATTGATTGGTGTTGCCCTGGATCAGATTGGATGAATTGAGGAGCTTCGGGTTGACATCAGCCCGACGAACGACTTCAAACCCGGCCTGCTGAACCATGCTGGTTCTCCAAACCCTAAGCTGTAAACCTCAAACCTGGCAGCCAAAATCGCGAAGTTTTAAACCTTGAGCAGCCCTATAAACTGACGTCTCCCGAATGATTGCCATGATTCGCCGTACACGCCTCTACTCCCTCCTGTAATCTCTTTTGAACCTAGAAGCAGGACTCCCAACTTCAGCATCCTTTCGTGCAATGACGCCTAATGACGCCTGTCTCGGAAGCTCTTTCATTAGGACCCTCCATGAATCCTGAACCCTCTACATCCTCAACCCTGTAGACCCAAACCCTCCAACCTCAACCCTACATCCTAATCCGGCGCCCACAGAAAAACAGACCCTTCCACCTCCGCAGCTTCTCACCCTTTCGGCAATCTGGTGGCGGGAAATCAGCACTCGGCTTGTACTTCCGACGTTTAGCCTCTGCTGGGATAATATAGCCTGTGGCTTGGGGTCTAGAGGTTGGGAATCTCTGTTGAGGGGCTCTGCAGGCTCTGGAGTCATGTATACGGGGTGGATGAAAGAGCAAGACGCAAATCAGATTGGCCAGCTCCTGGGGATGACAAAGTTGAGAGGCGTACTTCTCGATGCGCTGGGATGATGCAGGGCAACGCAAGCATTCTGTCAGGAATGGTGTTTGGATGGGGTTGTGCAGGGATTGTACAGGAGCCTTTGTTGAACTCTGGAAATACGTGTATATATATGTATATGTATACTGTATACATACACTACTGTATATAATGTAAAACCTACCTCAGAATTTTGCGTCTGTACGGCTTTCGCGGTACGATTCCGGTCGAAATCTCGGACGGAGTGATTCTTGAAGGTAGCCGGGGCATTGCGGTCAGGCTTTGCTGATAAAGAAGCTTGAGGCTAAGCCCACCCCTCGTGAAACCAGACCCCGCAACCTGCCCAGGCCCGACAGTTCAAAAATCAACGGGCTTCTTTGGACGTTTGCGCGAGAGACCGCAATAATGTTCACAGAGTATCATAGAGTCCGCTCAGGCTTTCTTGCTGCGTAACGATTTCGGCAGACTCCTACATATGGCAACGGCCCTAGGGCCGTATGGCCCGGCCACTCACTCGAGTCTACAAAAAATACATGTACACAAAGCCTTGCTAATGATTTGAGGGCTTGTCCGCATAGTCTTTTACTTCGAAGTGACATAGACATAGGGAATCTGAGCATTTCTGAGGTGAAGCCCTTCAGAAGCCTGTACGCGACCAAAGAACCGAAGTTCCGATCCGGAAGTGCTTTGCACCTTTCAGCCTAAAGAACATCAGGCCATCGAAATGCAGCACTGACGGGCCGCACATTGGCAATAACGACACCACTCCCGATGGACAGGCTGGGACTGGCAAAAATGTAACAACCAGAAGGACACGTCATCCATAGAAATAGCATGACCAAGATACCAACATTTGCGCAGGAATCCCAGAACCCTAGCGTAATCATGACAATGGTCAGAATTTTGTCTGCCGAGAAAATATCAACCACAAAACAGTGGCAGGCAAAATGCCCTCAGATGACTGACAAGAATGAGATCCATGAGACATGACAGAAACACACCCTGGCGCCTTTGGTGCGAATTGTGCACTGCTGGCCGCCGGTCGCTTTTTTGGCGGCATGGCTACTTCTGCATGTCCAAGTGAAGAAGTGAATGCGGGTTGATAGGGGTACAAGCAGCTTGTAGAAAACAGTTGGAGGCGGGCGTAACAAAGAGCTTGTTGGTTGTAGGAGATGATGATGTTAAAGATGTAGGAGGTTGCACACCTGATGTGTGGACAATGCAGTGGCGTATGGGCGCTACGGCTGGCTCTCACGGCTTTTTCACGACTTCACAGCCCAAAGGTCTTTAACACAGGCTTTCGGTATGATTCTACAGGAGTGTACAAGGCTACAGGCTATGGGTGCTATTCAATGCTTCTTGGGCGACTCAGGCCTCAAAAGGGTCATGAAGGGCCTTTCAAAGAATGTAAAGAATCCTTGTCCGAAGCAGGGTGCTGAGCGGTGTGCAGACGGTTCTTTAATGCGCCACGATGCATGTTTTGATGGGCCTGATGTGCTTTTATCCTGCTATGGTAGGTTTGAGTTGGTGAGTGTGCAGCTTGCTGAGATTGTTGTGGTAGGAAGACAGACTAAGCTGCAACGTCTGAGCCTGGGCTTGGGATGCAACAGACTGACGACGCTGTCATGCAGCCTCGCGCAAGATCTAGCGACAGCCGGAACGGCAAGGGGCTAAGTGGTGTCAGAATTTCGTGTGTGAGCTCGCAGAAAGGCCCCCTCTAGGTCAGGGCGCAGAGTCGGGCTTATGATTCGATGATTCGACGCCTACGGTCCAGAATTGAGCCTTCGTTCCGCTATTTTCACATCTCCTACAAGGTTCTGGCAACAACCCCTTCTATAAAGCCCAGCAGTATGCCCGATAATGGAGGCTTTACTGATCAAACTTGAAAGTCCCATCCGCAATAGGACCCTCAGAGGACAGGGGCGCATGCTTTGGGCCAATGAAGCCTTAAACAATACCGTCAGCCTTAACCGGAGTGAGGGACTCCCAACAGTATGCATTGCTGGCAAGTGGCACTTCAGACCTCCCCTCCTGCTGCTGCACTAAACCCTTTCATCTCCGCACAGTTCCCGCATGGACCCGCGCAATGTCGCATATGCGAGGAGGGTTTCTCACTGATGGCTAGCCCTCCATGGACCAAATTTGTCCCTAAGTTCAGTCAATTCTATTTTCAAGGTCCCGAACCACCTCCGCACCTCAAAATCGCAACCCTACACCATATACCCCATGCAGCTCTGAATCTACACCGCGTTACCGTTCTTTGTGACTGCTTGCTGGGGCCTGGAAGTGCATGGATACGCATGTAAGACTGGAGATCTATACGGGTCTGAATTATGCTTAGGTATCAGCGGCCTTAGAGGCTTAGAAATACATAAAGGATCATGGAGGTATTTGTTCTACTTTCTCTTGCAGTCTGGGAACTGAACCTTGACCGCTCGATCCCTAGAGTGTGAATACTAAACACGGCAACTTGGCCCAAGGCGTCTGGGTTTCTTTTGACGTAAGGTCTGCTAGAGACTGATCTTGAATTGCACAGCGCCGGCGTCCGACCACAGTTCTGAAAACAAACCACTTGTCCCCTATTGTAGGTACGCTGCTCTTTCATGTGACTCTTGAT